GGGAGACCCTGCAGAGAGCTGACCCCCACGTCCACTCTCACTGTTCCCCAGGGCCTGGCCTCTGTGTTCTCAGGCCGCATGTCCAGGAAATCACGTGCGAGGGACAACGACGGCACCATGGCAGACGGCGAGGGGTACCGGAACCCCACGGAGGTGCAGATGAGCCAGCTGGTGCTGCCCTGCCACACCAACCAGCGCGGAGAGCTGAGCATTGGGCAGCTGCTCAAGTGGATCGACACCACGGCCTGCCTGTCCGGTGAGGCTGCACTCTGCACAGTTCTCCCACCCCCACCCCACACACCCAGAGCAGGGGCCTCGTTTTCAGAGATGGTCACTGTCCCCCCACCCCCAGCACCACACGTATTCCTAACCCCAGCTTTGCTCACGCTGGTCCACCTGCCTGAAACGCCCTTCCTGATTTCCCAGTGGTTGGCCCAGCCGGTCGCTCTCTCCCTCGGACCCTGCAGCCTGAGTGTGGTGCAAGCCATTAGATCTCTGCTTCAACACAGAGCAGAACGTGGCTGCTTCAGGTTGGCTTGAGGGTGTCGTGAGCCATGACTGCGTCTGCCTCATGTGCTCTTGCGTGGAGCTGGGTGGGCTATGCTGGGTCAAGATCATTTCACTCCTTTTGCTGTCCCAGGGTTCTCCAGCCCACAGGAAGGGTATGGAGGACAGACAGGTGAACTGACTGGTCCCCAGCGCTGTTTGATAGGCCCTGACCCAGCCCCATGGTTGGTGAAGGGATTCCAGAGGGACCAAGGCACCCGAGTGTGGTCCTGAGGATAAGAATGACTAGGCAGGAGAGCTCTAGAAGGCCAGGAGTGAGCGGCGTGGTGCCACCGTCCTCACCAGCTCCTTAGTGAATGTCTACTATGTGCCCAGCACTATTCTGGGGCTAGGGCACAGCAATGAGTAAGACAGACAAAAATCCTCATCGTCAAGTTATTTACAGTCTAGCAGGAGAAGGAGAGACACTAGACAGACGAAGCCCAGATATACAGAGCAGGGTCAGGACTGGTGATGGAGGTGCAGGAGCGTGGGGAAGGATGGGGCGGTGGACAGAGGGAGTCGCAGCCCAGCTCAGGCAGCTGGAACAGCATCTTGAGGAGGTGGAACCTAAGCAGAGGCCTGTGTGATGTGGGGAGGCTGCTAATAATGACTGCCTTTCTTATCCTGATGCCAGCGGAGAGGCACGCTGGCTGCCCCTGCGTCACTGCCTCCATGGACGACATCTATTTTGAGCACACCATTAGGTGAGTCGCCCCTCCTCCCTCAAGGTCCTTCCTGTTTCCCTCTGGCGAGCCTGGGGTCCACTCCCCTCGCTTCCTGCCTGTTCAGCCTGTGTGCTGCCAAGAGCCTTTGCAAAGGAAGAGGGGGCAGCCTCTAGGGAGGCAAGAACCCCTCTGGGGGGCTCTGGGGCACTGGTGGCTGGGAGCTGGCCTGCTGCTGGGTGCTGGGGGATGGGTTCCCTCGGCCAGGGAAGTTGGAGTTGGATATTACCAGGACTGCATCAAGGGGTGCTGTGTGACTATGGGAAAGTCATTCTTTCTCTCTGGGCCTCAGTTTTCTTACCTGTAAAATGGAAGGAATTAGACTTAAGCAGTGAATGCTTTTTTCAGCTTGGACATTCTCTGTAGGTCACTGGTCCCTAGACTGTAGACAAGGTGTACTGGCAAAGTGTGAGCCAAAAACTTGGGCCATTCAGCCTCTGCTCATATACGTCTAGGGATGAGGATCCCATCGCTGGGCTCATTTGCAGTTACTTTTGTTATTCAAGTCAGGATGTAAATAATTTTAATTGATTGCCATGTTTAAATCTTTTTTATTTTATTTCTTTCATTTTAAAATTTGTATGTATTTATTTTGGGATAGGATCTTGCTCTGTTCCCTGGGCTAGAGTATAGGGTGGTGTCTTTGTAGCTCAATGCAGCCTCAAACTCCTGGGTTCATGTGATCCTCCTGCTTCAGCCTCCCAAGTAGTTGGCACTATAGGTGTATGCCACTATGCCTGGCTAACTATTCTGGTTTTTTGTGGAAATGAGGTCTTTCTATGTTGCTACTCAGGTTGGTCTTGTACTCCTGGCCTCAAGCGATCCTTCTGCCTTGGCCTTCTAAAGAGCTGGGGCTACGGGTGCAAACCACCTCACCCAAGCCTCTGAGTCTTTTTAAAAAAAAATCTGTAGATACTCCCCTATGTGTGTTCTCACCTGCCCCTACCACCAGCTATCTCTCTTTCTTTCTCTCTCAATCTATTTGGGTTTTTGGGAAATGTTTGTTGAGGGAAGCTAGTCATTTGCCCTCCAGAGTTTTCTATCATCAAGGTTTGCTGTTAGTATCAGCATGGTGCAATTTAACACAGTCCTCTATCCCTTGAGAGTGAATTGGTGGAGGGAAGGACTGACAGGGTCAGATTTGTTTATGGGTAGCCACCTCTCTGTGTTATGAAGAATGGCCTGGAGGAGGCATTGGGGAGCTAGAGGCTGGGGGTGTCCAGAGGAGGCTGGGCAGAGACCCTGGGGAGGGGAGAGGTTTGGGCCTGAGCTGTGGGGATGGAGGACAGTCAGGGGCAAGAGAAGCTCAGAAGTCCAAATGGGCGTGTTCTCTTGGCTTAGGGGAATTTAAAGAGGAGGAGGGGAGGAGAAGGGGAAGTGTCACAAGTTTCTCTCTTTTAGCATCGTGGAAAATAGGCATTTGTTTTTATTTGGGGGACAGCAGAAGGTTTTTTCCTCCTAGTTATTTTTTTTGAGACGGAGCCTCAAGCTATCCCCCTGGGTAGAGTGCCATGGCATCACGCTCACAGCAACATCCAACTCCTGGGCTCAAGCGAGTCTCCTGCCTCAGCCTCTGCCATGACGCCCGGCCATTTTTTGGTTGCAGCCATCATTGTTGTTTGGCGGGCCCGGGCTGGGGATTTGAACCCGCCACCTTAGGTGTACGTGGCTGGCGCCTTAGCTGATTGAGCCACAGGCGCGGAGCCCCTCCTAGTTTTTGATCATGAAAACTTTCAGACATGTAGAAAAGTTGAATAGTTCAATGTTCACCACCACTGAGACCTAGTAATTAACATTTTGCTAATTCGCTTTGTCTGTATATAAGTAAATAAATACCCGTCTCTTGCTCTCTTTCTGCTGGACCATGTGAAAGTAAGCTGTAGAAATGACTCCCCATGGGCAGTGCCTGTGGCTCAAAGGAGTAGGGCAGCAGCCCCATATGCTGGAGGTGGAGGGTTCAAACCCTGCCCCGGCCCCCTCCCCCCCGAAAAAAAAAAAAGAAATATGACTCCCCAACCCTGGACACATCAGCATTTATCTCCTAAAAATGACCCTCCCCTACGTGACCGTTGGTATTGCTGAAAAAGAAATGGACAGAGATCAGCCAGTGTCTGGCAAGGTGGAGCTCTTGTCACTTGCTGGGCTCCTGCTGTGGGCCAGGCGTGGCACTTGGCCCAGTCCCACTTCCTCTCTCTCCACCCGAGAACCTGAGGTAGTGGGCTTGCTGTCTCTGTGCTTCACACAGGAGGAAACACAGAGAGGTACAGTGTCTCACCCAGGGTCACACAGCTTGGTAGGGTGACAGTCAGGATAGAGCGTGACTGGAACCCAGGCCTGCGTGGCCCCTCTCCCTGTGTTCACTGTGGCCCCTTGACCAGTCCCTTGGAATGGACCCTTTCTAGGCCTGGGCAGAAAGCTGTGTCGTTTGAGGAAGAAATCAGCACTGTGCTCTCCATGAGCCAAGTGCAGGTAAAAGGACGTGCTCAAGCTCAAATGGCAATTGGATGGGGCCAGCATTCCAACCTCCTAACCCCTCCTCCCTGCAGCCTTTCAGCTGGGAACCCGCTTCTCCCCCCAGTTAGGCACAGGGCAGAGTAGGTGGCTTCTGGGGATTGGACATGGGAATCATTCCAGATGGTCAGGCGAGGCTGTGGCTGGAATCCTGGCTCTGCCACTTTTCAGCTGAATGACTTGGGCAAATAGCTTAACCTCTCTGATGCTCAGAGCCCCTAAGCCTACCTGCCAAGTTTGTTCTGAGACTCAAATGAGGCAGTGCCTAGTGCCTGGCACATAGCAGGCATTCTTTAAATGCTCCCATTTCTCCTTCTACCTTCTGTTTATAGCTTCTTAAGCTTAGTGGATGTTCAGGCAATGTGGAATTCATTAATTCATTTGGCCACTATTTATGGGAGACCCACCCTGTGTGATATACTGGGCCTGGCAGAGTCATGGGGAGCAAAGTTCATGGTTCTTGCCATAGTGGGGCTTATAGGTTATGGGAGACAGAGGTCAGTCCTCTGGAGAAGTGCTGAAGAGTGAGCCTCCCAGGGCAACTGAAGGACGAGGGGCTCCCTGAGGAGGGAACCATGTACCAAGGGCAAAATGAAGGTTAAGCATTAAGTAGGCAACAGAAAGCAGGGAAAGGGGGGAGATGAAGGAAATCACGCCACTTCTCTCAGCGTCAGCTTGACGCTATCTTGCTGGCTTGCTTTGAAGACTTGGTGACATCACAGATGTGAATGTGTTCTGCAGGCCATGCGGTCCCCCAGCTGAGGCCTGCAAGTACTGGAGGCCCCTGCTCCCTCCCTCTGGCCCCTCTGAAAGGCTCACCTCCCACTTTCCTTTCCTTCTCCCCAGTGTTGGACAAGTGGTGAATATCAAGGCCAAGGTGAACCGGGCCTTCAACTCCAGCATGGAGGTGTGTGGGGCAGCCCCTGTTTGGGGGCAGGTGTGTGGGTGGGTCCCAGCCCAGCACACTCCATTCACAGAGCCCTGTGATCCTAAGGATCTTCCTGTCCAACATCCCATTACACAGAAGGGAAGATCGAGGCCCAGGGAGGAGAAGGGATGTGCCCCAGATCATTGAGCTACCTGGGACTTGACTCTTCACATCTAGTCTAACAGGTGGGACTGGGCAGGACAGCACTAGACTGCAGCCTGCTAGCTCCCACAGTCAGGCTCCTCATCTGTCAGATGGGGACCAGGTCGCTCCAATGTCACAGGGATCGGTGAATGCTGCCTGTGATGCCCAAGGCAGTGGGGTGGGGGGATGACTCTGTTTCCCACCCGTGGACTTCAGGCCCAGGCAGCTTTCCCCAGTTGAGCCACTGGTTCCTCAGAGACAGCAGAGTTGTGACTCTGCCTCTGGGCACCCTGTAAATTTCCAGGTCACACCAGGTGTCCATTCTTTAAATTTTACTTAGTCGAAGCCCTTTTGTGGACACAGGCTTATTTTAAGCCTCGCAATAAGCTTGTGAAGGCAGGTGTGATCATGCCCATTTTACAGAGGAAGAAACCAAGACCAGAGAAGGGAAGTGACTTGCCCAAGGTTTCCCTGGGAGTGAGGGATGGAGTCAGAATTACCCCAGGTCTCCAGCCCCTTAGACGTGGTAGGTGGAACAGAATCAGTAGAGGCCTGGCCTGGGGTGGGATGTCCTGTCTCTGTCCACGGGCCTCTCCTGACGAGCTCTGTGTCTTCCCTCCTTGCTCTACCCAACTGACTCCTCCTGTCCAGGTGGGCATCCAGGTGACCTCCGAGGACCTGTGCTCTGAGAAGCAGTGGAATGTGTGCAAGGCCTTGGCCACCTTTGTGGCTCACCGGGAGATCACGAAGGTGGGTACTTATACCTGGCTGCCTGATGCTACTCAGTGACTGGGGACACTGGTCATGGTGTGCCTGGATCAGGGTATGAGGTTGGGGGCAAGGAATCTGCAGCCCCCAGAACCAGCCCCCTCTACTCCTCAGTGCTGTCTGACCCCGGGTGCCTCCCTCTCTCCTTCCTCTCACCTCTCCGTGCGCCTCTCCTGCCCTCTCCTGCGAGGATTCTCCAGGTCTCACTGCACATCCCACCTGGCAACTCCCCTCCCTGGGCAAACACGTGGAGGATGCATGTGCTGTGTGAGGGTGACTTGGAGGCAGGAGGACGGGCGGAGGGGAAGAAGCCTGGAAACCAGCCTGCAGCCCAGGCCTGCTACATGCCCTCCTTGGGCATGAGGTGGGGCTGGGAAGGCCCCTGTGCTGTTTTAGGAAGCTCATCCTGGGCATTGCTGCCCTGCCCCCTGGCCCACAGGTGAAGCTGAAGCAGATCACTCCACGGACAGAGGAGGAGAAGACGGAGCACAGTGTGGCCGCTGAGCGCCGGCGCATGCGCCTGGTCTACGCAGACACCATCAAGGATCTCCTGGCCAACTGTGCCATTCAGGACGGTGAGCAGCCACCACCGTGTGTGGAGAGGGCAGCTGGCATCCTGCAGGTCCTGTTAGCCCCGCGCCCTCCAGGGAGGGAGAGGGACCCTTGGGGATTTGCACTCACTGGTGGCCCCAGATCTGTCCATCCCTCTTGGCCCAAGTTCTCCAGGGAAAGGGAGTGTTTGGGCCCTGCCCCAGCTTCTAGGAATGTGAAGACTTCTTATGGAAGTCTCTTTATTGTCCACAAAATGCATTTAAGTTTCTAGGAGCCAAGGTGTTTAGGAAGGTAGTATGAGCTACAGCTTGAAGAATCAGTAGGATTTTTTTTTTTTGAGACAAAGTCTCACTATGTCCTGGCTTGAATGCAATGGTGGTCACAGCTCAAAGCAACCTCAAACTCTTGGGCTTAAGTGATTCTCTTGCCTCAGGCTCCAAAGTAGCTGGGACTACAGGTGCCCATCACAACACCCAGCTATTTTTTGGTTGCAGTTGTGATTGCTGTTTGGCAGGCCCGGGCTGGATTTGAACCTACCAGCTCTGGTGTATGTGGCTGGTGCTCTAGCCACCGAGCTACAGGCGCCGAGCCAAATCTGTAGGGTTTAAAAAAAAAAAAAAAATATATATATATATGTATACACACACATACATAATGCATGTACACACACACACACATATATGCTCCCTCCTAAGATATGGAATAAAAAGCTCTCAGCTTTGTTACTAACTGAAAAAAAAAAAAAAAAAAAAAGAAGAAAGAAAAAGCCAGACTCCATCCTATCCCAGAACCCTGGTCCCCTCCCCAGAAACAACCGACCAGTATTTCCCATTGCAGCTCTCTTTCCAGGACTATTCCCTGCATCTTTAGGCATAGTATGTATTATTTAGCCTCCTGGTTTTACCCTAAAGGGATAAAACAGTACCTACTATTTTTTTTTGAGACAGAGCCTCAAGCTATCCCCTGGGTAGAGTACTGTGGCATCCCAGCTCACAGCAACCTCCAACTCCTGGGCTCAAGCGAATCTCCTGCCTCAGCCTCCCAAGTAGCTG